GATTTGTACTTATAATGGGGTCCTGATATAATATAAAGGCAAATATTTTGGAATAAAGGAGTAGAGAAGAAGCATTGTGAAAGTTTTCAAACAGTTTCTCCACTTAGTAGAATTTCAAACTTCCTGTCATTGTGTTAGGTGCAAAGTTTTTTTTTCCTTAACAAACCACCCTTAAGACCATCAGAGTATTTGTCTTGGTGGAAACAATTTATTGTTAAAAAACAACAATATGCAGGAGATTAAAATCATGTTAGAGAATGTGTGTGTGTGAGAGAGAAAATGCCGCCCTAATAAGGCCCCCGTGTGTGATTTAGCGATGGAATACATTTTACACCTTGACAAACATAGCAGATTTACTGTGACCAGCCSACAGCAGTCTCTGAGCCCAGGGTTCATAAATCCTCAGAAACCCAGTGACTCATTTGTTAAAGAGCAGATAATGTGGATTCACTTCTTACCTGCTGTATGTTTGGTCCGTATGAAGCTGGAACAGAACAGTCAACAGTTCATCAGGATTTTTATAGGCAGCTCTTCTAATAAACATATGACGGTAAATGTCTTAGATTTCACAAGAAATGGTTTTTCACTACAACCACCATAGCGCTAAATATCACTAGAGTGAGTCCCTCTATCCTGTTCACTGTTAGCATGTTTGACAACATGGAGGAGCAAAAATGACGACCAAACAGGGCGTCGGCTCACACCCCTCAAAGCATCTATTAGATTAACAGCAAGCCCAACTGGATCTGTCACAAAATATCTGTAATATTTTTTACAGTAAATTAATTGTTAATTATGTTCATTTCATTCAACAATTGTGTTAAACAGATCTATACATACAAGAAAAATATAGTTTATAAGTAAAGATTATCTAAACCAGACCTGAAGTCAGTCAATAACATAGATTGTTTTGCCACACTTTAACTAATAAAGTATATTTTATTTCTTACTGTTATAAATAATAATAAAAAATGTTTACCAGTAGACACTTAGAAAATATTCACTGCATACAGAGGAGACACGTTTCAGAATGAAACATGTCTCTACTGAAATGACTAAGCATTTTCTCAACAGCTCAGATTTGTCTAATAGAAGTTTAAAAAATAGTTCAATATTATTTCACACTGTGGAAATATTACATAAATTTGAGTCAAACAGCTTATAGTATTTAATAATTTGTGCTAAATTAGATAAATAATAATAAATAAATTGCACTGTTTTGCAGAGTAGTTTTTTGAGCGTGTGTTTGTGTGTTTTCTGCATAAAACACAGGATCAAAGCTCTTTTTTTAACTCACCTTTCCTATTGTGTGTGTATTCTAAACTGCAAAGGTAGCGCACTAAGTTGCGAAGGACCCTGGACATTCGTTCCGCCATATTTGTCATGTGTATTTGTTTCTCCGGACAGATGTTCTAAACTGCATTTCTTTCTGCACTGCATCTTGATATTGTGTGTGAATGACAATAAAACGCTTCTGATTTTGATTCTAAATTGTAGCATGATTCAGCTAAGTGCTACATTCCGTATAGCAATATATGATAAAAGAAGCTAAAATCCCCACCAGTTCAATAAATAACAGTAATTACATTGGCTTTATAAGCTTATATTAATTTTAAACTGTTAAATTATTGGCTTCAGTTCTGGTCAGATCACATCCACATTGAGGTAAATAAGATAAAATCTGCTTATTTGTGAAATGAGATGTTTTTTCTGTTTCCCTTCTGTTGGGATCAGTAACTCACACACCATTTTCTGGCATTTTTATATACAGTTCATTAGATAGATTATATACATAGTAAAATAATAATAATATATATTTTTAATATTTTTTATGATTTCTTCAATATCAATCCTTTTTTCCTCTATGTTGCCAACATGTAAACTAATGGTAAACCCAGACTCTTGCCCGTTCTGCTTAGCGCCGCCACTGCTACAGTGGATCAATTGGTCATATGGTGAATATTCACTCCAGCTATTATTTGTTTCTCCATCGCAACCACCTACCTCATTTTTTCCCCCTCAGTTGATGTCAAATAAAGTTTTTTGGAGATATGGGAGACTGCTTGACATGATAGATGATTCCATGAACTGTGGCTTCATTAACTCTCCTAATTACCATCTGGATGTTTGCTGGTGTAGCACAGGACCTTTCCCACTAGCATAATGGAAAACATTTATTGACAGCAGCCTGACAGAATGAAAGAATGTCAGATTGAGAGAATATCGGAGGAGAAGGAGCCGAATAAAGTTGCCCTTTAATTAGCCGCAGCAACTTTATAGACAGGCAGCGGGAGTGAGATTTAAATTCGGGATTTTAATGGCACAGTTTTAGGGCTCCTTCCGGGCCAAGTTTCAAA